ATTTATATGAATGCTCTCCATATGGTCGTACATAACTAGATGTTTGTCCACAGCTATCTGCATTCTCTTTTTCCCCATTTTTACAGTACACTTAAGCCCTAGCTGGTCACACCAGAATATGGAATAGCAAAGTTGATCAAAGCATCACAAAAATAAGTCACCAAGTAGTGACTATCACAGGGCAAGTAAAGAAAGTGGCTGGCAAGTTAACGTCTTACATTCTAGCCAGCCAGGAACATGCCGGGGCTTGTGAGGCACAAGTACGCTGCAGCGATTCCGTTGCAATTAATGTATTTCTCTGCTTATGCTGGTGTGACTGGGCGAGTCACAGGCTTCCCTCTCAGCTGAATGAAAATAAAAAAGGGATCCATATATATATATATAGAAGATTAAACCTGCATGAGCACACATTTCGAATAGATCTCTTGTAAATATTGTAACTTTCTGTGAATTCACACTGAAAGATTGTTTTAATATCAGGTGGAATGAATTCTCTGCCTATGAAATGCTGTGTCTTTGTGAGACACCTGAAGCATTCGAAGAACTATAGAAATAGAATAGGAGCAGAACGGACAAAAGAAAATGGCGATCGCAGTTAGTTGTTATAGTGACAAAACATGTTGGAGACGTATGGCTGGCTAGTTAGCTAGGTAGTTTGTTCTTCTCCAGGGCAGTGGGCAGTGAGGCGGAAGGACCGTCAGACCCAGCTCTGCAGCTGGCCGTCATTGTTCGGCTCATTATCTGCAATTGGTGTAGCATTAAAGTAGCTAGCTAACTAGCCAACTGTCCGCTATTTAGCTAGCTAACATGTTAATTCCACCGCGCCTAAATGCTACACTGGTGACAGAAAAAGAAGCAATGTGCTTTCCTACGCTGTGACAAGAGTGTGTGGATAAAGCATTAAGTTATTAATCTTTACTTATTTACTATGGTTCTCAACACTTCGTCCTCCACTGCTCGGTTTACTGCAAAACCTCCCCTCAGAGAGTCTGTGACTTGCCATAAGTCGATCTAGTTAATACCATGGACTGTATATAAAAAGTGGAGTCACCCATTAGTTTGTGGACTGCCGTTTTGAAGGCTTGAGTTTAGCAATTTCGTTGTTGCCATCTTGGATTTCCAAGTCGTTTTGTAGTTGTTTTTTTGCAGCCAGTGAACGTGAGTTATCATATTTGGAATGCGGAGGAGTGACGCAGAGACACCGTATACATGTCTGGTAGCAGCAATGACCTGTCAATCACAGTAAGCCCGCCCTTAAGCATACCACTTTATGGTCTATTTGACTCTAAATGGAACATAATTTACTAAATGAACATCATGCTGTATTGAAGAAGACTTGAAACTAGAGATTGAGACCAAAAACTAATGTTTAAAATGTTTACTGAGGGAATAAATCAAGTGAGAAGTAGAGTCGTTACAATCATAGATTTCCATATAATCTGATTTATTTTTGCAACCAGAGGAGTCGCCCCCTGCTGGTCAGTAGAGAGAATGCATTCCTCATTGGCTTCACCTGGCAGAACCGGAGGTTGCCCTCTGGTTTCTACAGAAGTTAGCTCGCTACAACAGTCTCAATTGGAATGGTACATAAAAAAATGGCCTGATCGTGCTACGTTGATTTGAATGGGAATGTTCGTACTTCTCCTATTCTATTTCTATGGACAGAACCTCTGAAAGCAGCCTTAGATATAACAGCCAAAGAGGTGAATTTGAATAAGAATGTTGGGGGACTCGTGGCTCCTCAAAGGACTCTCTTTGGTACCACACCGCCGACTCCTGAATAAGCTGCTCTTTTCTATTCTCCCTCACACATTGCTGTCGTGCGCTTTCATTTTCATACCGATGCAAACGGAGGGAGCCCTCACATTAAGCTCCTTGGAGATTTCATACATTCAGAATTGGTCGCTACAGGAAAGAGATGCCCTCGCTCCTCAGTGTTCCTACCACTGATGATACAGCCTCCGCTGTAAAGTGAATCTTGAGCCGCCACGCTGCTCCAGATTGGTCCTCTCAAGGATTTCATTTTGAAAAAGGACCACTTAAGTGATGTGGCAAGTCAATTTGACAATCATGAAAGGTAACACTGAGCTAAGTGCAGACTCCTGATTAAGAAAGCCTGCAGTGAGAGACACAGAGTGAAGGGAGGGAATGGGGAACTAGCTCTAAAGAAAACCAGCCAACCATGAAATGCCCAACCTTTACACTTGAGAGATGGGAGGGAGACTGGATTAGCAGGACAGGAAGACGACAACAAAATCTGCACTAGGGAGTTGCATTTTCTGGAACTTTCATTTCATTTAATTTCATCATGTGCAGCAAAACTATACAATCCAAAACTTCTTGGTTTGCAGTCCCTACAGAATAATTAAGTTATTGTTTAATCTTTTATCTCATTGATATGTGTCTGCTTTTGCCTACATAAAGACTTCTATTACAGTTATCTAGAGATTACAGCAAGTCGTGTTTCCGCTGCCTTCTACAACAAGCTGGGAGAACTCCTCTCCCCTTATTACATTTCAGAAGGAGCGCCTGATCCAGGGAGCGGCCTGGAGGAGAAATTAGCTGGGAGTTCATTGGCTCGGCTACAAAAGGAGCAGATTAAAGAAAGGGGTGAGATGATTGAACTCCCCTTTCTTCCACAGCGTGTCCTTTGTGCCAGGTCACTTTGATGCTATCTCTGTCATTCGAGCCGCACGCTGCGCCTCGGGTGCCTCACACAAAAGGGTATGATGCACAACCAGAGGCCTTGAATGGAGCTTTCCATCTAATTCCTATAAGAGTGGCACTCTGCTTGTGATCCACCTCATCTGCTCAGAAAAATGAGCGTCACTCATTATCAAAGCCCGTCATCACAGTCAAAGCCTTAGAAATGTATTATTGTGAAAGAATAAAAAAAATGACCAAGTGAAGTCTAGTTAATGAAAAGGATGTGGCTTTAGGGAAATGAGGCCAAATACTTTTTTTCCCAATAAAAACGGGTTGTTTTTTTGCATATTAGCCCTGTATACTCCGTACTCCACCAACTCCAAAGCAACCTCAACTTCTACATTGATATAACCTTCAAAGTAGTTTCTGAAAAATGTGAGTGCACTGTAACCAAATACCTTTAATGGGTAGAAAAAGGTCAACTGTCAGATCCTCGCTTGCGGAGGAGCGGAGTGGTAATGGGAGGAATGGTTGTACCTTTTGCTTACAGAGGAGCACAGAAGAGGCAGAAAGATGGGGGAGGAGGATGAAAGGCATCTTACAAGGCTACCATTACCAGGGTAATTCACAGGCTAAGGAGCAAAAGGAGACCTTTGAGTGGGTGGCTGGATAGTTGAGGTCTGATCAGAGCCTCCATTAGCACAGAAATGAGCTGCAAATGGAGCAGGGGAGAGCTGTGTGAAGAGAGGAGCAGGACGAACTGAGCCGGAGGAACACAACGCTCCCGACCGGGGCTCAACGAGACCCACTTCACAGCACTTCTGCTTGGGCTAAACATGTTGTTTTTCAGCGGACAATAAGTAAAAACACTTCATGATAAGGCTCTCGGAGAGCAACTTAATCAAAGCTACAAACCCTGCAGTAAAAAAAGGGGCTTCAGGTGAGCTTGGATATATTAGATATAAACTAGGTCTGAGTTTTCACAGCAACATTTGTCAACTTACTACAGAGACGCAAAATCATTGGTGATCCACCCACACGAGTCGAAAAACCTCATAATTACTGAATGTTGAAAGTGGGGAAGCATGGAAATCATAAGAGCATATTGCAAAAAGACAATGTGTGTGGACAAAGAGGCATAGCGATCACAAGGTGAATCTAATCAACATTTTTGTCTTTTTGCCTTTGCTTTTATTGTCCTGTACAGTAGGTTAAATAATAATAATAAAAAAGTATTGTATACATCTATAAGAGTTAAGTATGACAAAGAAGATAATATGTTTAAAGCTTTACATTTCCAGGTATGCTTCTAACGTGTGTGTCTGCAAGGAAAAAGATAGAGTGCAAATCAACAAATCATGCAAATTATGTGCATGATGCAGTTTAGGGCACCCATAAAATATGTTAATTCATAATCCCTACTGTGCTATTCCTTAATCACATCCATAAGAGTCCAGGTCAATCCTTCTCAGATGAATTCCATTCCCTGGCTCAAGTCAATTAAGTATTGGAGAGTTCCACTGGAATGCCAGTGCATTGTATAGTAGGAGAACCTCCTAGGTAATGAATGAAGAATAAGATGGCTCTGCTCCCCGCTCGGAGGATTAGGAACATGAGGACAGCAGAGGGAAGAAGAGACAGGATGACCGGGAGAGGACAGAGTGGAGGAGTGAGACGAGAAGCGCTATCTGTGCTGGACGAGGTCTCATCACCCCCTCGGCTGCCCCACAGACGCCTGGTTTATTTTGAACAAGGGCTAATCAATAACAGCAGCTGACCACAAAGAGAAAGAGTCTCTACTCCTCAGATGTCCTACTGTAACTCTGGTTTTAAAACGGCTCTGCATTTCTGTTACTTTGCAAAATGCCAAACATATTTGTCACAGCGTTTATCTGCCAATAGCATCCATCCAATTCATTTGTATCATCTAACAGACCAAAACATTGATATGTTGTCAGAGTATTTTTGTAATATACTGCAACAGTACGAAAGCAGATTTGAGAGAGAGACATTATGTCGATGAAAATGTTTGGTTTTTTTCATATGGAATGAAAACTCTAGAGGGCATTTAACCTGATGAATAGAAATCTGGATGCATGAATTTATGCTTAATGGGATCCCTAACCTTCAGCAAAATGCAATTATGATATCGCAAATGTGGGAAATATCTGAGACATGTTCAGGGGCCCCTTATTGTAAATAAGTGTGTTGCTTGCTATATCTATATTTGAATATCTATATTTTTGTATGGAAACCACAAATAATACAGATGTTGTATGTGTTTAAACATAATTATGTGCATTGTCGAGACACGCTCAGATATTTTGAGAAACACAGTAGAAATGCCTGCTTACTGATGTGTACAGATGGCCCTCCCCGTTCATGGCGATGTATAAACCTGTCTTCACGGACTGAATGGCGACGACTCTGAGGCCCACAGGAATAAGGTTGAACAAAGCTGAAAAACACACAAGTGAACAGGCAAACACACACACATGGATACGTCACCGAACAGCATTACCATTAAGGGAACATTAAATACATTGGAAAATCCTTGTTCGATTCATCATCCACATTAAAGCTGCCCTGTCATTAATGCCTAGCAAAGCTTACATAATGCAATTGCTAGCTGTTGCATTTAGGTAATCGCTGAAGATGAAATGGAGCAGGGCTGGGGAACGTGACTAGCCTAGCATAGCCGCCACCACCCAGAGCTACCTGAGAAGTAGCTGTAATTGGTGCCACCGCTGGTGCGTGGCAGATCTAATAGGCCTTTTGTTGTTGTAGCAGACTCCCTGGGCCTGGCTAGCTTCTTTGTACTAGAGAGAAAAAACAGGACCGGCCTGGCTGAGACATTAAGAGTGTGTATTTGGGAGACTTAAAGGTGCATAATGACCTCAGCTGACCCTCTACGTAATTGGTATTGGCTGGTTTGGAGGCCGGGAGGGAGGCTGAGAGAACTACTGCGTGACTGTTGTTTCTTGTTGGCTTTTGGCCAATTTAAAAAAAGTCTTGTCAGTGCCAACGCTTGATTTGATCTTGCAGTCTTAATGATATGATGCATCTCTTGTGCTCACTGTATGTGTTGCCCTCTATCTCAATAAGTCCCTTCGGCCTATCAGATGTGGCATGAGTAAGTGACACAATGTGGAGTGTCGGGCTGGCGTTAGCACCAAGCAGAGGAATCAAATTAACCACCTAGCCTGGAGCGCTCTGGAGGAGCAGTGCCAGAACGAGCTAATAATACCGTTTTCTCCCCGTTAAGCCTACTGTTTCCTGGTCCACTTTCCCTCTCAGAGGAGGATAAGTCTGTTTGATACTACAGCTGCCATTTAAGAAGAAATTTCAGCTCCGAAGGCTGAAAAATGAGGGGAGGTACTGGCCTGAAAGTTAAAGAAGTGTGACTGGAAGGTCGCTGGTTTATTTCCCGTACCTGAGGGATAAATCTAAAACCAGGAAGTGAGCGAGGCACTTCCCGTAAAGAAAAAACAACCCTCTGAGATTGAGGAACCTATACAGACTTTAATGGGGACATATCAAGCTCATTTTCATATTCATGCTCACATTTTGGGTTTCACATTATTTTTTCTCATACTGTTTGTCTGAATATAGCCTTTATTCTCCCTCTGTTTGAAACGCTCCGTTTTAGCGCCTGTCTCTGTAAGACCCCCTCCCAGTCTGCTGTGATCGACTTGCGAGAAAAACGTGGTACACCTTTCTAAAGGTACTTCCCAAGCTGTGGGTGGAGATACCAAGATGCATATTCTAATGAGCCTGCATGTGACATAGGAAGGGGAGCCAAATCTGATTGGCTTGTTGAATCTGGACAGCCCACAAAAACAGTCTTATTTCACAGTTTGTGGGATGGTACACAAATGTATGAGTACCTGCTCTGAAAAAGTGAGTTTTTCTTAATGATAATTCCCTTTTAAGTACCAGTTAATTGATCATTTTTCACAGTGTCCTCTTGACTTATCCAATGTTGCATCTAGGACCCCATCAGGCACTTTCAAAGGTACTCACAGGAATTACTGCTGTCATCTTTGGTCCCATCGAGAGAGCCATCGGGGTTCATTTGCAAGTAGTATCCCTGCCTGCAATATAACCTGGTCACTATACCCTTGAGCTGGGGATCTGCAGGAGAGAAAAGGGGAGAGAGAAAACAGGACACATTAGCAATCAGCAAAACCACATAACCCTCGTTACAGGAACTGCTGCGGCAAACCAATTAAGCTCAAACTTTTTTTGATTTTATATTGCAAAGTTATTGTATTATGTTGTTTTCTGAGTTTTTTTTTAGCAGCAACATGCCATGAAATATAACTGCTCCACGGTACTTGGTGACTCCTGTGTATGCTCGCAGGCAAATCCCACAGCCAACTTTCTGGGCACATAAGCCCTGCCCCGCTCAGAGATATGCCATCCAATTATAGGCAGCGGAATTAATCTGTGGTCGCCTGACTCCCATAATGAACCCAACAGCACCCTCTCTGGGTCCTCGGCGTGCAAGGATGTGAAAGCGTCTGTGCTCCAGCTGACCCGACGGGGGAATTAACCGCATAGATATCTGCTGCAAATAAATCACCGCTGCGGTTAAATTGCGCAGCGACGCTGCAGCCCGACCCAGTCATGTTGCAATTTAGTTGCCGTTTTTTGTGGGTTTGTAATAATGTGAAAATTGAAAAGGTTAAGGAAAGAAAAACTTAAAAGGAAACATTTTAATAAACCTGCATGCCACTGCACATTTGGATGCATGTGTGTGTGTGTGTGTGTGTGTGTGTGTGTGTGCACGGACGACCACTGGGGTCTTATACCATCAACATTGGTCTTATTGTAGAGACAGCCATCACACCAGATTTCATTCTAGGAAAGCCTTGGGGAGGTGAACAATCAACTTCACCTGAGCCTAAACCGTGCTCCTTGTGTGTGTGTGTGTGTGTGTGTGTGTGTGTGTGTGTGTGTGTGTGTGCGTGTGCGCGGATGTGAGAGAGAGACAGGGAGAGAAAAATGAGAGAGATAGCGTGGCCACAGAGGAGAACACAAGGGGTCTCGCTGAGGGCAGAGAGAGGCATTTTCTTTCTCTGCAGCTCAAGGCGGTCTCTTCTGAAATGGTCTCTGCTGCTGGGTGACGGCATGAGACCTTTCCATGCTGTCTGAAGAAAGAGGAGACAAAAAAGCCTCTCTACCGGTGTACCAACATCGCTATGACGGCATTCAACGGCGTTGCTTTGTTAGACCTCGTCAGAACAATGAAGAGGTGGCTAAAGCTGAAATCTGACTGTCAGAGTTCCTCCGCTACAGGCATTGAGCGGGCTGACAGGAAGGTGACAGTATCTCTATGGTTCACAATGACACTCAAATCTTCAGCAGGGAGGGAAGTCAATGTGAGGCCATCATCCTTTCTCTGTTAGCTGTGCTTAATATCTGACGAGCGCATGCTGTGGTAGGTGTTGTGTCCTTCAGTAACACAGAGATGGATTCGTTCATCTGTGGTTTGTCCTGTTGCCCACCTGCAATTCCATGCTAGGGCTGCAGCTAACGGGCGTTTTTTTTATATTCAAGCTGTACTTAGATTTTGTTTCAGAAAAACATTTTAATTTAGAAAGAGGCCCATTTCCTCCAGTAAAAGAAAGAAAGAAGGAAAGTTAGACACTCTAAGGGCAAAATTATGAGACACAAAGTCTAAATTTGGACATAGTTTCCGCCTTCTATCTTATTATGTTGAGTCAAAATTGTAACTTAATATCTTATAACTTTAACTTACCATACAATGATCTATTTCTAATCATAAATAATATTTCATTTATTTTCATTTACTTTATTGGCAAAGTGGGGCTACTACAGGTTAAGGCATATCTTTTGAAAGAAAAATTTTAAATACATTTGAAAAAGAACTCCCAAACTCCCAGACTGTTGGTCAACAAGCAGTTCAGAGATCAAAAGATATCCGATTTACAATTCTACAAAACAAAGAAATGTAAGAAAATCTCACATTAACGGCACTGCAACCAGCACAAGTTTGGATGATAAATGACTTTAACAACTGCTGATTGAGTGTCTGAACTTGCATATCGACTGATACCGAGTACCGATCAGATACAGATGTGACAAAAACAATGAATATCAAACAGGTCATGATTGTACATTGCTGTGAAAACATCTCATTCAAACAACTGTCTATTTAAGTTTCTTGCCAAAAAAAATTAATTTTACGAGGTTACATTTGAATACATGATAATAACATTATAATTAACCTTAGCCCAGTGTTCATTTTTACTGAATAGAGCTTGAATGTATCATAATGTAACTCAATGCAACCTCCCGTTAACGTTAGCCGTTAGCTCGGTTATTTAGCCAAGCAGGACAGCGCTGCCCACCGGCTGCAACCGGCTAACGTTAGCTGGCTCTCCTCCCGCTGAATTCAACACGTTGTTCACGATGTAGCATAATCAGGAAGTAAATCATGTTTAACTACAGGTGTGTACTGCTAGTTTGCACATGTGAAGTAGTGTTCAGGCAGGTGAACGGATCGGGTAGCGTGTTGTTGTTCATTTGCAGCGCAAATGAGCTGATAAATGACACGATAACCTGATATCGGATCAGTGCATAGACTCGCAAGCTCGCCGATACCCGATCCAGCATTTTAGGCTGTATGGGTGGCATTTCTGATTCTGGTATCGGAACAACTCTACGATCTATCTACAATATGCAAGTTAGGCCAGTTGGCATTTTGTGGGTTTTGTAATAACATACAGAAAAATAAAGCGAAACAAAAAAAGTAAAGGAATAGAAAACTAAAAGGGATATATTTCAATAAACCTGCTGCACGAGGGTGCAGATGTCTCATGCATTCAAGCTGTGCAATAGTTCTTTCTTTTAATTGATTATTCTACTAAATGTTTCAGCACATCTGCACTTTGTTTACCAGACACCTAATCCGTGTTGCATCAAAGGAAACGCTTCAAACCACCGAGGACCAATCAGAGTTGGGAAAAACAAAAAATGTCAATGCACTACTGCCTTTATTGTATTACTCTCAACCTCTCTCTTTTCATTATCGTTCTCTCTTTCAGCCGCTGTCACCGCAGAGGGCAGTAGGATATCATCATCAATGGAAAGGACTAAATGCATTAATTAATAATGCATAAATGCAATCCGATATCCTACGGTATATAACCTCAAAAGCATACACGTATTCCCTACAATCTAGTGAGGGATGAGTGAGTATTTCTCACGGTAGGGAGAAAGCACGAGCTTCACACAAACTATTTCACATGGATTTTCTAATGACTACACAATTCCCTCGAGCGAATACTATTTTGTGTAACTGGTTGCTGGCTGCTTGTGTGTGTTAGTGTGGAGGTGAACTTGGCCACTACATCATGCTATAAATCATGTGACGTTGGCTGTGTTCTCCTGGGGCGAGCCAGTGAGTTCATCTAACACACACACACACACACACACAAACACACACACACACACACACACACAGATTTCCCCTCCATTTTCTGAGCTTCGGTATTTCAGTAACATTTTAGCTTTATGTAATTTATCAAATGGGATAAAACAACATAAAAAAGACATACAGTTGTTGACATATAATCCTATTCAGTGGGGTTTTTAATGAACATGTCCTGAATTGAATCGTGTCCTCGAATACCCGGCGCATATGACTGGCCACTTTTACACCAGATATTCACATATGCTGGTGAATATGTCAGAGTGACATTGAAGAACAAACTCACTCACGACCCATTGATAAAATGTTTCCAGTGGATTTAAGGTAATTTATTTCCCATGCAAACCAAGATGCATTGAATGTCCACCGTTATTCACACCACAGAGACGTGCTCCTATTATGGTGCTTTGTATATCAACTACTAAGCGAAGTGAAAGAGAATTGCCTCATAATCCTATATGCCAAGGGGAAATAGGAGAACGGGAGGTTGGAAATGTCTTGTGGGCAACGAAATTGAAGTGTTGTTTTTAGAATGACACAACGCTTTCAGGTCGGTCAGACAAGCCGGATACGATGCGTGCACTTCTAAAAAAGGACCGCTTTGAGTATGTCTCTGTGGAATTCCCTAAGTCGAGAAGGTCCTTGACTCATCGTCGACATTCTCTGCGTTTCTTTTCCCTCGTCTGTCTCACTGTTCTCTCTCTTTCTGTAACGGACTTCAATTGGTGAGACAACAGTGCTGCTTATAACCTACAGAGAACGGTTGGACTTTTCCAGTTGCACTGGTGTTGTTGTTTTTTTTGCTTTTTACAACAGAAGCACTGTGTGTTTCTACATGCCTTTTTCTCGTTGTTTCTAGGGAAAAAGAGTGTGGCGTGGCAGCAGCAGGGGGGTTTCCTTATAAAACAACAAGCATCAGAACCGTAAGATCTCAATTCGGGCCGCTCTGCAGCAGAACTCTTCTCTGCATATAAATTGAACCATCACAGAAAGGTTGTGATTTCGTTTTTTTCTTTCATTTTCTTTTCATTTCAAAAGGGGCCTCCCTGCGGCTCCGTTCCCGTCTGATTTTCTGTTGTGTCATTCCACTGTGAGTGTGTGTGTGTGTGTGTGTGTGTGTGTGTGTACGAAGACACACATTGGGCTCAGTGCAAAGCAAACAGCACAGAGGACACACATACACACACACTCAAGCACAGCTGCAGCAGCAGTCTTCTTTCAGCTCTGCTCTGCCTGACCCACTTCGGATGTTTCTGGAATGGGAGACGGGCTTTTCCAGCCTGTGAAGAAGGAAAACCCCCATCCATGTTGCTTCTGTTGTCATGGGAAAAAAAGCAGATAGGGCAGAGAAAAAGCCCCCCATTCCTCAACAACAATCTCTGACATCTCAACAATAACTCCACGGACTCCCAGACAACTCTGAAGGCTGACCGATGACGAGCTGCTGTGTGCCGTCGGCGTGATTTTGAATAAACAGCTTCTAGATCACACGGGCTAATCTAACGGTCTGATCTGTGTAACGCAAGCTAATGATCTGTGGGTCTAATCTGGGGAGATAATCAAAAGCCAGAGCGGCGGGATTACGGGCGGGCCCCAGCTGGATGTGCCCACAGCTCACTTACCGGGTTCGAGTGTAATAGGATTTACAACTCAGATCTAATCCCTGAAAAAATAAAAAATCTGTATGATCACTGGCTCCCCATCTGCTATGAAAAATGCACATTTTGTACATGTTGAGTTGTTCATCTAGAGCTATGGGAGCTCTGCTTCTACAAAGAGCATTTAGAGGATGAGGATACTGAGTATTGATTTGAAGTTTTTCTTTTGAAATTTCAAACTCAAAAACACAATATGTGTCAGATCCAATCTACACCAGCCCATAACAATGGCTGATCAAGTGTCTCACAAGATCAATACTCAAAGCCGAAGGGAATACTGGTGTTTGAGTACTCAGACACCTCGGCTCCCTCCTCCTGACGGATGTCGCTGGGAATCTGGAAGCCAGCTGCCAAAAAAAGGGCGAGCCCAGTACCTCCCTTTCTCACCTGGGAGACAAAGACGAGTCTGCCTGCGTCACCACGACACAATTGACTTTTATCCGCTCGTGAGAACAAAAGTCCTTCTGGGGGTATTAAATTAAGCACGCCCCAAACGAGCCGTTAGTCTTTTCCCGAGCTGTGTGATAATTCGGTGAATAAGACCCGAGGGAGGGAAACAGGAAAAGTAAGGGGGTGAGGAGAGGAAACATTGGTATTTGTGCAGTATTTTCACCGAAGCCTGATAACACTTAATGGAGATCTTCCTGAATCTCATGCGAGGGGTGAAATTAATGGAGTGCATCTCCATTAGGACCTCTAATCACAAATAACGCAAAATGAAAGCAAAGCAGATTGGTCGCCCTGTGTTCTCATTAGAGCTTTAAGAATTAGGACAAAAATACCTGTCCTAACAACGGCTTCCCCCCTTCATTTCAATTTTATTTTCCTGGGACTGCTTCTCAGGGTCGTGTTCCTGTGGACTATCGTCACTGCTCTGAGGAGCTTGGGGAGGGCCCAAAGTCGCTCTGCGAAATGGCCCCATTGCAGGTGTGATGCTGTCAAGTCACGTCAGGGATGGCCGGTGCGGGTTGACTTCACATATCTGACTCACAGATTCCCAACAGTTTGCATCCATGAAATGCTAAAATATACACAACACCACCACCCCCCCACCCCCCTCCCGCCCTCCCAAAAGAAAACTAAAAACATCTTAAAGAGGCTGGTATGCTTTGTTTTCCATCGCTATGATCAGACACAAATTCCCTGACCAAAAATGACAGCATCCAAATCTGTTCAGCTGCTGGACACTGCTGATGTTCGAATGAGAAAAAAACAGACACATACAGTATGCACAAGCCAATTCCAATGTGACAGGAGGAGGACAGACTATTGGACACACACACACACACACTGGGACAACCGCGCACACATAGACCCTATGGGCAGAAGCAGATTAGAACCTGACCCATGTCCAGATGTGCCGCTATATAGCTCCCGTTATAGCACAGCCATTTTAATCTGTGTAATCACTCAGGGCTGGTGAAGGGGGACATCATCACTCACAGTAGTGTTCGATTCCAATGTGAGCACAGGAAGGGGACAATAGAGAGACTATCAAAATGGCTCAACAAGATGAAAGACTAAACACTGCTTCTATATGGTGCTTTGTTAAAAAAATGAAAAAAAAAGCTTTTTGCAATGCCAGTGTGCCATTAAATTGTGCAAAGCGCTGTTCAATCAGTTGGGGGTTACAGTCAGTCTGATGCAACAGGTTTGATACCTGATGATTCTAAGAGGAGCATATATACAGTTGCCTTCCATCATTCTCTAACAAGGGGAAATGATTGGAGTCATTCTTTCCTAAATGAATTATCCGAATTATCCAAAATGAATTATCTTAATTAATTTTGTGTGCGTGAGCAAAATTATCCTCACAGTTAGCACTGGTTTCCAGCAGTGAAATACTTGTCGACCCCCCAGGTTGCCACATTTGAAACAATTCGTTGCATTTTCACAAGCGGGACGAATATCAGCTGGAGCAGGGGACATTGGAAGTCGTAAAAAAATTATGCAAGAAAAGATTATGTTTGAAAAGAGTGACCTCCATCCCGCTGGAAATGTTTGTACCGAGCGGTTAGGAAAATCGTGCATGCGCTTCACAACGACCGGTAAACCTGTCTTTAAAAAAACGTTTGGTGGCGACTCGTTGGGAGCCTGTCAGCTATACCTGGGAGTGCATGTGAATCAGAAGCATGTTGTTCAATAGACAAAACAGAACGCTCTCTCTCCTCTTTCAATTTAACTTTTTACGCACCGAGGCGCATTTTATCAAGTTAATCTAAGCAGTAATAAATCATCCATTATCACCTCGTGTACTTTAACCACATAGAAGCAAAAAGCTATGCTTGTTAAAGGCCCGATAAGAGCCATCAACCAGTGGTTGTTAAACGTATGCACATGTTTTTTTTATTACACGCTCTGCGCCAAAACAAAGCAGACTTCAGTTCCCCATCACACCTTGTCTCCGTAGTCTCCGCTTCCTGAGGCCGAAGATGCGCACTTTAGAGAAGATGTCGACCAGGTTCCCATTGCAGAGCCCCTTGTTCTTGTTGGGGCTCTTCCTCCGTCGGTTGGTGGCGGGCCGTTCTAGATGCTGCTCCCGCGCCTGTCTCTTCTGTCTGATCAGCCCACTCGCGATGGCAGCGGCCATGGCTCACAAAAAATATACAAAAATTGTCACAACCGCTCGGGTCCGGTCTGCGCGCGGAGCGCACAGACTACCACAAACAAGCCGCCTCTCGGAGCTCGCAGCCCGGGTCACAGTCCCATGGTGGCGGCTAAGTGGTCCGTTCCGTGGTGAGAAATGTCAAATATATATATATATTTTTTTTTAGCAGCTGGTCTCTTTTTTTGTCCAAATTCTACATGGTAATATTAAAACAGCTTTCACCATCACTCGAAATATTCTTGGACATGATGGAGAAAAAAAAAGGAGATCAGTTCATGCGTAATTCCACACATGCATCAACAGCCATAGTGTTGATTGAAGAGCTATGCCAAACTCAACGCGCAACGAGACCTCAGAGGAGTATTCATACCTGCACGGTGGTGTTTTTGCTCATTGTCTGTGACATGTTCGGTTGCGTCGCCTCCTTTTAATGTCCGGTACCGTCTGCGGCGTCCTCGCGGCACATTTCACCCAATCTTTCCCCTTCTTTTTGCCCCCCGTTTTTCTCCTCCTCCTCCTCCTCCTCCTCCTCCTCCTCCTCCTCCTCCTCCCAGACGAGGTTGCTCTATCAGAATTCGCCGTTTGAGTATAGCGGCGCGGAGAGAGCCTGTGCACCGCCAGCAAATCGAGCGGTACGGAGGCACCTCCTATGCGCGAGGATCACCGCTCGAGCAGAGGCTCGGCGGCACCGCCGCGGGGGCGAAACGAGCCCCCCAAGTTGGCGAGAGGCAAACGGCGAGGGCGACCCTGCAGTGACGGATCACACATTTGGAGATGGAAAAAAAGAAGAAAAAAACATGCAACCGTGGTGGAGTTAAAATCGATGCAGCACAGGCTCAAATGGACGCAAACTTGTATTCCAACTGCCCGCCGATCTGCCCGGATAACCTCCTCAAAAACATAGATGTCCTCACTGTATTCCACACTCGCAACAGTGTGCGGTAGGAGCCGGGGTGGAAAAAACTAAACATCGCCAAAGCTGATCTAAATCCTGTGGAGATGACGTCTGCATTGTGTGACAAGCTGCATACAAATACATAAACTTAAACCCCCCCCCCTTCACTGGTGATCAGCAGACTGTGTCGACCCAGTGGATCCTCCTATAGCCCACGGCGTGGGGAGATGCATGTATGGCGATCGGCGCGTAAAGCGAATGAGCAAAGTAACGCCACTGGTGTACGGCATGCACTATTTATTTTCCCACGCTCAAAGAAGAAGAGAAAAAAAAACCGACAGGAAGCTGTGATCACCCGCCTCAGTCTGTATAGCCCCAGATCAACAAATCATTCCCATCAACAAGTCCTAACCACTCGTCAGTATACGCCTGAGTGGAGAGGATGCCCTCCCCCTACACTGCCTCCCTCTCGACCGCCAAGCCCCCCCCCCGCTCGAAGGCGACTGAGCAGCCGGGGTCTTGATGCTAAACGTTAGATGGTGACATTACATTTACTTTAAAACGAGGCAGATGCTAAGAAAAACAATTGTATTTATTTTTTGGCCAAATAACTGAATTTCCCCACAGAAATTATAACACTGGGGGGGACTAGCTGCAGACGAGGTAAAGCAGAACATCCCAACATCGTTTTAATTGCGAGCCCTTTGGGCTGTGGGCTCATTTGCTGCGTGTGTACGGTTTCAGCACCGCGGACAGCGCCGCTAATGTCAGCACCAGCACAACGACGGAGGGGGAAACGTTTCCTTTCAATCTTTACTTGAACGACCACATTCCACTGGGAGATCCGCTTCACGCTCCATTCCGCATTATTCCTCTATTTGATAGATGGCGAAATCGGACGAGTCGGTCCCACACGATAAAAGCCAGCGAAATACAAAATATCTGATACCTTTTTTTTTCTTGTTTGGGGATGTTAATATCGTCTTAGTCTCAATCACAGGCACTGGAATTAAAACTCAAGAGGGCCATCTGCCGTTTGTGGCTGTAATTAAACGTATGGGGCTCACAGGGGGGACTGCAGCGTTGCGTTGCATTGCCCCATTGCTGTGCATTCATTCTGGTCCGCACGCCAGATGCACCTGTTGATATCCCGCTGGAAGGCCTCCCGCGGGACAATATAAGATGGGTTGAGCTACTTAGCTATAGAAGGATCACTCTTGTATTCATTCGTTTGCATTACAGGAAGAAGAAAAAATGAGTAGATGTCATTAAAAAAAAAGCCGAAGAACAATGAAATGAATACTGAATATACGGCATGGCACAGAATGACAATATATATACCTCATCAAATTCACATTGATGGATATTTACGACCCTGCTTTTTAAATTCATGCATATGTGAACGGTGGTCAGGTGCCCCCCCTCACCCCACCGCTTCCTCGAGCTCCGGCTGCGGATGCACACACAGAGTTTGCGTCCCGAGGTCTGTGCAGAAGCCTCCCGCTCCGCCGGCGCTGCGGGAGACACTGCAGTAAACGCTCCAACCAGCAGCTGACACTGTCAGCTCAACAATGGTCCTCTCAGCCGCAGCAAGCTTGCAGAACAGCACCGTCACAGCAGCCTCAAGTGTCTGAATCTGAGAGGCTTCCTATCTAGATCTCTCTCTGTCATAATCATACACAGATGGGCAGCTTCAAAGGAAAAGAAGTATTATCCTGCAGGTTTAGCAGAAATTAACCAGCAGGTTGATATTTTTTTTACTAAATGTTTATTGCATGTACTGGATAATGTTGATAATATTTGAGTCTTCCCGGCATGACTTCAACAACTCCGTACTATTATTGTTTTTTTGGAATTGCAGCATGGAATAGGGAATTTGGCAAATCATGAGTTTAAAAAAACATGAGACAAAGAGACCTAATGGGTTTCAAAATCATTTTTTACCAAATAAAACAGAGTTCACGCTGAAAGCAGCATTGTTATCTCATATTCTTTTCCCACAGAGGCATACATTAGCACTGGTGTGCTTGAGTAAATTCTACAAGCTAGAACAAAGAACAGCACACTGGGCTGGATTTAGAACCTGGGAACATATGCTGGAGAGGAGAGGAGAGGCTTTGCACCGTGGCTTTTACCTTTGTTGCTCACGCGGCATGAGGTTGAACGCATGCAGGGTCAGACAAGCTCTCTACACGAAGCACAGACATTCACATGCACAGGTCTTACCGCTGCACATGCTGCAGGAGCAAAGTTAACCACTTGAAACCACGAGACTGCTTTCACATCAAACAGAACACAATGCAGGGTGTCGAAAAGCACCTCTAAACCCCAAGAAACACTCATTCGTGAAGCAAAACGAGGGCGCACATACCTACATTTTTTTTCCTCCTATATGTGAACGATTGAGAGTCCATGGCCGTCCCATTCCAAAAGCCCCTCTAAGCCAAGACCTTTTCTCCTGGGACTTCTAATGCCCCTATTTATACTGCCCCACCAATAGGACCTAACGCAGTTAGGGCGAACTGACAGTCTGCCCCGAGCTGTTCACTTTAAACACCTCATCCTTTAAGTTGGGTCACAGGGAAAGGCAGTTTGATTAACGCACTTGGACATTTTCGTCTGAGACTAAACGAAAGAGACTAAATGTTGCCTCAGGATCTAATTTCCAAGAAATTAGCCTGCTGCAAAGAAGACATGCGCAGAACAGCACTGTGCATATCTGCTTCTCTGTCATCAGTAGATTCTTGACCCAAGAAAGATCACGGCACACCATAATGTACCATGCACAGTCGGCCTGTATGTGGGAAAACACGGTAAACCCAAAGGTTCAGCAAAGCAGAATCTGATGCAGACTTGTGAAGCTGCGGCCTCATCGGTTCTGAACATTTTAATCCAATCTCCTGTGAGGAAATTGCATTACCGTTAGTCAGATGTCCTGCTGCCGAGCGAGAGCAAATATCGCCCAATGGAACCGGGATAAACAACCCATTTGATTATTGCTATTACTTTGCCCCAGGGCCGTGTTCTTTTATCACCCATCCTGATGGTAAAAAAACTAAAGAAAAAAAACTGTGAATGGCACTCAGCACTTCTCAGGCCCAGTGAAGAAAAAACAAAAGGCTTTACTTGCCGGAATCATATTACACTGCATTATCAAAGTCAGAGAGTTAATTCAGTTTCAGATGAGTAATGATTTTTGCTTAGCTGGGATTTATGTCATTTTCTTTTCTCCATTCTTTTTTTCTCTTCCCTCAAGCTGTTTAATCATTGGATATCTCGAGTCCATCTACTGAAGCTGTAAAAGCTTAGTGAGCCCGCTCATGGGCTGTGAGTGTTCTACAGTGCATGTGTGTGCAGTGCATGTGTGTGTCTCATTTGTTTTGATGAGTCTAACAGTTTGAGCTAATCAGAGAGCTGAGATGGACGAGTGCGCGTCATGAGCTTGTAAAGGGGGAATGAAGATGGAGGGCTTTTGTTAAATGGTCACAAATGAAGAGTGTGTGGTGATGGTGAGGTCCTGGCATTGGGCCAGACAGTTGATGTATCATATGCTAGGGTATATGCATGTATGCACATATGCATGTATGGGCAAGTGCCCCTGTTATATTAAGCCTGGACCCCCTTCTGCCCCCCCCCCCCAACTGTGGCACATTTTTTAGTACAATTCTTTTGACCTCACATTTATCCTCAGAGGGGAACATTTTAATTCTTCATAGCAGTAATAAAATGTGCGTTAACACTGAATCAGTATATTATTGTGTTTGTTGTTATGTGTGTATCGTTATTTTTTTGGAGAACCAAACCTATGCGGGTGGTAAATATACTGCATTTATATCGTGCCTTTCTAGTCTTAGCGACCACTCAAAGCGCTTTACAGCACAAGTCAGCATTCACTCATTCACACACACATGAATACTCTGGTTGCAGAGACTATACCGTATAAGAGGCCACCTGTTCCTCAGGAGCGATAAACATTCACACTCACACTAGCATGTTGGGGTTCTTGCCCAAGGACACTTCAACAGGTAGACAGCAGGGGCCGGGGATCAATCCGACTTTCTAAATAGTGGACGACCGCTCTACCTCCTGAGGTATCCAATGCAGTAGTTGTGCTTAGTATGTTGGTGCCCTTGGAATTGCATGTTGCCCGAGCCTAGAAAATGACTCTACTTCTCACTAGATTTATTACCACAGTAAACGTTGTAAACATGAGTTCATGGTCTCAATCTCTAGTTTCAAGTCTTCTTCAATACAGCACGATGTTCATTTAGTGAACTATGGTCCATTTAGAGTCAAATAGACCATAACGCTGAGTATGCTTTAGGGGCGGGCTACCTTGTGACTGACAAGTCGCTACCACTACTAGATCTGTATACTGCGTCTCTACTTCACTCCTCAGTCCAAATATGGTCACTTCCTTTCACTGGTTGCAAAAAGATGGCGACGACCAAACCGCCGAACTTGAGGCTTCAAGACGGCAGTCCACAAGCCAATGGGTGGCGTCACCTCACGTGCAGAATAAGAGGATTTTAACTACACTTTAAGGGCAAACTGTTCTGCAGCACTGAAAAAGCGTAGCCTTCCTTAGCTAATGAATATGTGAATGATTTTTAGATACAGGAGTTGTGACATGAAGGTGTAGCATTCACTTCCCGGGGTCCAGGTTCTTCCTACACTACTGCCCCTCAGTTGTGAGGCTTACCTCAGACTACTTCCTGCAGCAGTCTGATAACACACGGGTGAATGAAGGAATGAATGAGCTCGCTGGCAGTGATCAACTGAGAAACAATCCTTAAGTGTTGCTTTATCGCCAACATGACGCCTCCTGCTGCACTGTCAATGAATAATAGATTTGAAAAAGGATAGAAAAAAAAAACCTGGAGAGATTCAGTTCTAAACAACCGCAGGAGCCGACGCATTAAGTCTCTGCTCGCAGACCTTTAAATCGTTGGTTCATCATCTGACGCGGCGTGTCATAAAATCATTTAAATGTAATCGCGTAATCGCTGCCAGGTGCACAAAATGGGCCACCAGAGAACATGTACGGACCCCGTTAGAAAATGTCTCTGCATGGTGTGAGCGTGACGCAGCGTTCCCCCCCCCCCTCCCCCTCCAGGGAGGAGATTAAAGTTGGGCCCCGAAGAGTGGAGCCCTCCGACAGGGACAATAATGAAACGCAGCGAGCTCCGCTCACAAATAGCTCGGTTAACGTCCGTGTTCCTGGACTTCATTGCAGTAAAAAAGCTGCATGCAAGTCAACAAAACCGAGGTGAGGGTGAGCTTTGGGGGGGGGATTCTTGATTGAATTGTGAGTTTCCATGGCAATAAGGTAAATGGGAACAACCTAATTAAGAGGTATTGACGAGTATAACATTGGAAAGAAAGGTCAATTAGTAAAACAATTGGCTGGGGGCTTTTTTTGCCATCGACTCAGACTTTTGCGCATTTCAAGGAAACTTGATTAAAGCAAGAGGAGGAGGGGGAGCATAAATTGGGTTAGAGTGGCAGTGATTGGTAGCGAATATTGGCCCGAATCGCCGAAAAACGACCCAGTTACAAAGTACATAATTCGGGGTGAAGCAAAACGATGGTGTTTAAGGACTTCTAATGTGAGCAAAGAGACAAATATAAAGCGGGGGGATGCAGAGGCAAAATAACAGAATTCACTGAGGAGTCAATGTGCCCCTCACACACATTCCTCTCTCTCTCTCTCTCTCTCTCTCTCTCTCTCTCTCTCTCTCTCTC